AATGGTGGGAGGCTCTGTGTGAGGCCGTGCAAAATGGGGAACACTCACAGAGGAATGAGTGAGTCACATGTAGCTGAGCGGGAACCGCAAACTAGGAGACAGAGTGAGGGGTTCAGAAATGCTGACATTTCTTTTAATTCTCAATTTTTATTCAATTGTCATAGATGTTAATGTATCCCTTCACTTGTAGGGACCCAAAAGCCTGGATCTACGCCATACTGTATATCCATGCCACTTTGTGTTGTGCGAGCAACATTGTCACTAGGTGTCCAAGAACGTAACTGAGGCACTGTATCGGAGGGATTGTGAAGACTGAGCGTAAGCACGTCTCCTCTTTTTCAAAGCTTTAGAGGGTTAAACCTGAATTAACTGATGCAACTAACTGAAAAATTAATTTCAGTTAAAATTAGTTATATGTAATGATGTGTATTCATTTCTGTTAGTTTCCTCTTGCTCAATTGCTCTTTTCAGTATAAAGTGAAAGTCTATTACATTCTATAAGTATGACATTTTAAGAGTTATTCTTACTGTAAACAATCTTTTTAATTTGATGATTAAAATACAAAAATGCACTCTGCAGAGGATCAGTCATCTCAGTTTTGGTTCCAGAATATATTCGATATTATGCAAACTTTTGTCCCGAAAACTGCAAAGACGCTTTTCCAGGTGGTAAATGCTGCTAACCATTGAACAACAGATATTATATTACAAGTCCTGAAGCAAGCAAAGAACATTGTCCTCATTGACAATATCTGTTAGAATCTGTATCTCTTTGTCACTGTGGCATGATTAAGAGAAAGGAGAATTGTCTGAAAGCAGTATAAGATTACATAAAATAGGAAAATTAGCATGTCGGATTTTTGGTGTGAATCTTAAATAACTGTATAATTATTCTTATATGTGTGGAGAACTTAATATATGATAATGTTTAAATTTCCAAGTGCTGTCTGAAATACAGAAATAAGCTCAAAACTCTTCCAATTGCCTAGAGGAGGAGAGAGAGAGGAAACATACAAAAAAAAAAAGAAGTATATCATACAAAGAAAATAGAGGCAGCGCATTGATTTTTAATTTGGGACATGCAAGCCTGAAGAGAATTGGGAAATTGTATCCATCTGTTCAGGCCAGTGTCTCTCTCTTTATAAATGCTGTTTACTGTGGTGGTGTATATTGTACGTGTAAATCTCATCACGAGAGCATGGAGTGTTTCACCAATGGCACAAATGGATGTAGGCCTCTCTCCACTTCCAGATTTAAGGCCAAATAATATAGACTTGACCAGCTCGTCTTATACCCTCATAAAGTCCTTATATAATTCAGAATAGCAGATGGGGCAAGGGATGGAAGACATTAACAATAGTGTCATCTACAGTACTGCGATATATAAAATTGAACAGAATTAACACAGCAGTAGAGCACAGCCTGATAATCAACCCAAAGCTTGGGGACAAGGCGAAAGATGAAAGCAAGGGTCCTTGATGAGCGACACTTGAAATAAATTGGGAAAAGCACTGTTTCCTGTCAACATCTTTGCCAGAGGGTTAGTATATCAATCTGTTACCATGTTGATGAAACCTGATCCAATTATCCCATATGCTGTAATGCAGAACCACCCCCAAGAATTTCCAGCTGAAGCAGATCAAACCCTTCCTCCCCATCGGATGAAAATACAGATCAGGGGCAGGCAGTCTGTGGTCACTTGTGTAATTAATGATACTGGGATGTTGAGCATTTTAAAAGCAGCCGTGTCTGGAACTGCCACCTTTAGCCGGAGAAAGAAAAAGAGGATTGGTGAAACCTTGGAAAGTGGTTGTTTGAACTGTATTTCAACTTCATAATTTAGAATAAAACATGGGCTATGGCACATGTGTTACTTTCGATCGAAAAGTTAAGTGGGAAGACTGCAACTAAAACATTTGTTTCTATACTGTACATCTTCCTATACAAATTAGGAAAGGTGTGCCATCAGTGAATGTAATTATTTTATAAAAAAGTAAACTTTTCAGGGTAGTTATTTATAGAAATTGTTGAGCATTGTTCTAAAAAAGCCCATTCAATCATTCCCCCCCAAGATGAGATTTATATAGTTGTGTGACAAAGCTGAATTGTCTTTAATGGCGTCTTCAACTGCATCCCATAGAATGTGAAGATTGTTGAGTGACTAAAAATGAGAGAGTACATTCATTTAGCTCGAAGCAGCATTTCTAATATCTCATTTTGTAGTAGCATAGTAGAAAGATGCCAGTGGGGGGCATGCAAGCATTCATCTATCATAAATCTGCAGAAATTGGCATGGTGGTCTGATAATTATTTAGATATGATCTCAGAATTGCATATCATTAAGAAACAGTTTAGAAGGCAAAAATCCAATTAATTTCTGAGAAGGATTTATGTCTAGATATTTTGATGAAAAAGGTAAATACTTTAACAGGAATCTGAACACAATATATAACTACTACACCCAAAATCCTTTTTGAAAAATTATCCCCCCCCCCCAATGATGTTGTAGATGTCCAGAATCGAGTTATCAACTCTTTCGATTTCAATCTGTGTAGTACAGTACAGTACGTGATTTGTGGCAGCATTCACATCTGCACTCAGAATAACACCGGTCAGTCATTTCCCATGCGGGTTTCACTTTCGTATTATATGGACTGGAGGAAAATCCTTTTTATTTGAAATAGTTTCATTTCCATAGTTGCTCACCCCGTGACCAAAAATAGAAATTTAAATATTCCTTCTCGTTACAACTGAATCATTTTTAGTGGCTGAAGAGGAAGGACATTGTAATACCACTAAGCTAGTCTACAGTACAAACATCTACAGTATGTTTTTTTCAAGGGAAACTCTTATATTACAGTTATGTCTCTATTTGGCCTTTGCATTGAGACTAAGCAGTTTGTTGGGAAAACTTAGCTCACACGCATTCTGGGATGAAACAGAAACATTAGTCAGGTGTGTCTAAAAATCAAATCCAGGGTCAACAAGGAATTCATGTCTTGAATAATTAAAGAATACATAGCAGCTATTAAAATGAAAGTGGAGAGAAAATAATCGAGATGAACTTATTTTTGTTCCTCGCTTTCTCCTGCCTCTATCCCAAAAACCAGCAAGAGAGGATCAGACAAGGACAAAAGCCCATCCCATTCCTTAACACTGTAGAATCTCTGACAATAGTGTCCTCGTGATCACAGGTTTTAAAACATCATTGCTCCCCACAAAATACAGCCAAAAAGCATAGAAGAAGTTGCCTCCAGGAGCAGGATAAATAATTCACATATTTGCAATAATCGACAAGCATCAGAAAGGAAAACAGGAGTTAAAAATAAAGACACTCCACACACCGCAGAGCACTCAACAACACAACACTGGAAGAAAAATAAATAAATAAACCACTGCAATAGTTAATGTCATCGGGGTGAAACAAGTAAAACAATGGCAAGATCTCAATGTTCAGGTGCTGTAAAAACACTCAGAGACAACACTCCTCGGTTAACCAAACTGAGTCCATCGCTCATGCACACAGTCCCCTCGAATGATGAAGAGCAGAGGAGAAAAGTAAAGAAAGGTCTCCTTATTTGCAAACGGATGCTGTGCCCCACCATTTAGGACCATGTGTACTCTGGGGGCCTAGAAAAACTGTACTGTATAGAAATATTTCCAGGACAATCGCTGGACTTTAATCTGGTTAGAAGCACAGTACGGATCTCCCTGAAGACCAAACAAGGCCATTTCTTTCAAATAGAGGTATCGGTGTTCCAGAGAAACCTGAAAACATCATATCTGGGGCTTGCCGTAGCCTTGAGAAGAGTGATCTTCTGTGTGCCTTTTCAGTAATTCTCACTGCTCCAGATTAGGATCCATTAGGAAGTGGTTTCCTTAGCAATTAGACCAGATCGTGATGTTCACACTCCTCTGGGAGGCTCAGAATTGGAATATTGTTTGGCTGTGAAGGTGTTGCTGCTTTCAGCTTTATTACCTTGCATTTAAGAGTCTTAAGTCTTAAGCATTTGAGTTCTCAGCTGCTGCTTGATTCTGTGAAGTCTCCATTCAGTCTTCACCAGTAGTGTTTGCTGACTGACTGCAGCAGCAGCAAAGCAGCGATCATATCCAGTTCAGGACAACCATTTCTTATTTCCTCTCTTAGCTAGGGAAGTGGCAGTTGATCAGTTGTTTCTGGGTTTCCAACACATCAGATTGAAAAATCAACATCAGGGGATCGTCACTCATTCTAGTTTACATTAAGTCATGTAATCTTTCGTCGCAATATCTTGACTATCCCACCCACCTTCTAACCTCTTAATCCATTTCAGGATTGTGGGGAATACTCTTGGCAACCATCGGGTTCAAGGCAGGGGGTGACAGTCCATCGCAGGGGCCACACACACTCACAGGCAGCAATACCAACCACCACTAGGGACTAGAGGACCCTAACTATACTATTTGTCTACCTATAAAAAAGGGAAATTGCCACATGAACCAGAATGCCCATCAAGCCGTCTTGTAGTGTGTGATTGTGTTACGAACCATTGGTAATTCTTCTCAGTCTCAGCTTTCTATAGGGACATGTGTGGAATATCCTTATGAAATATCCTCACCAGGAATAAATGTCTTATTTCCTTCAATATCATCACACCCGACAGTCTCTGGTCATGCTATTTTCCTCATGCCCATTCCGATTCTCATCCTCGTTTGTAGTCCACCGTTGCCCTGGTTTGTTTTTTTTATCAAGCCAACAAAGCAGAATTGTCTGACATGCCCAATGTCCTCGCTGTCACCCACTGCACTTCTCTTTTGATTCTACAATTCCCATCTGCTGTCACCTTACTTTACCTATTTTAGATCTTGCCTTTGATTTAATTCGGGGCTTTCATCTACTGTCTTCAGTCGCTGGCATCGGAGTGCGCTTGTCCTGTTTAAATACAGGGGATCGTAAAAAAAAATCTATTCACAGTGGTTTAATGATAATTGTTTGTCAGTGATTCCGTTTTGTTTTTCAGATCAGAAACCTTCCCATCCGAGGGAGATGCACGTGATTCAGACATTTATAGTGCCAGAGCCAAAGGAAAGCTTGCTGGACGCATAGTTCAACTGCGGTAAGAATTTACTCTAAACCTTTCAAATGTCAAATACCGTAATTCTTTTTGAAAACCACTGACCATAAACATTGTTTCCTTTAAGACCGGAACTCCTCAAGGATACAGCACGAAAATAGCTCTTGAAAGGATACTATTCAGTGCATGATATTTGAACTGCAGATCCCAATAATCTATAATACATAAACAGACTTTTGTTAATTTCTTGTTAGATGAAGTAACTGAAATGTTTAAAAAATGTTCAGAGTTAGTGATAATGATTTTTGCAGTTTCATCAGAAAAAAAAAATCTGTCCAGTAACATTTTCTAAAAAATGTTTATTATTATTGGCTTGGGTCAAAATCTGATGAGAAAAATTCCTTGAAGACTTTGAATGTGCCATCAGGCAGTAAAAACCTTAACTAGTGTTTATTTTTAAACAAAGTATGAAAGGTTAAATCCACAGTGAAAAGCAAAAAGAACAAAGAAATGAAACTTCACTTCTTTCTTTTTACTTTTCACTGTGGGATTAACCTCACCATGATCCTTTGCAGCTTGCTCACCACTCCAGCCTTTTACTTTTAAAGTAACAGTATATAAATATTGGAGCTCAAACAGAAAATACATGGAACAATATATATAATCTCTTGACGACGTTGATCTTGTTTAGCTTAAGAGCCAGGCTTAATTAAGAGCCGTTAATTTCCTTTAAGAGAATCTTGAAGAACTCTTTTTCCCTTACTGGAAACTTTTTTTGGACACAATAAAAGATACCCGCTCATTAGTTTAATACAGCCCGTGTGCATATTTTAATGCAGTAACTTACAAATGGATACTTTTATTTTTGTTTACACTCACCCAATATACCCCCACCATCAGGTACTGTGCATGTACAGTTATCCATGGGTGGCAGGTGTTTAGTTTAATACAGTACATAATCCCGAAAATGATACAAGTTGTCTTCTTATGCCAGTATCACTTTACAACTCATTGACAAGAAAAACACTAAGGGAAATTCCTATCCTTCCACTTTTTCAGACATTAAAACTGAGGTATTATTTCAAAAAGAAAATTATGCCTGTGATCTTCTGACTGCAAACTGATATTATTTCTGATCTGTACATTGCCAGTTTGAGAATCTCAATAATTGAACAGCACCTGTAATAGAGCATGGGAAAGTAATGAAAATACCGTGGTGAACTTTCATGAGGGTATCTAGGTCTGCATGAAAAATGATGTAGATGCGTGAGAACAATTCAAAAGGAGCAAATACTGTGGGTTTCAGAAAAGTTTTTTAAAAATTTCCTAATACAGTATATGTGCATCTTCCTTAACCTGAACAAATCTAGGGTTACTTCTGAGGAGTCCCTTCAGTTACTTCAATTATATAGGACTGTACCAGTATATATGCCTGTCATTGACTTTTTTTAGTCCAACCTTTCCTGCTAGGTTATATTGTTGGAAGGGATGTGAATGAGAAATTGTTCTGTGGGCGGGCTTTCATGACATGTCAATTGTAACCCCGCTTCATGTCTGTCAATTCCACTGATAGATCACATTCCCCGTGTTTAAAATTCAACAGGCTAGCAGTTGAGCCCTTATTTAAAATTTTACCACCAGATATATACAGTACTCCTTTGTACTTTGAAAGCTCTTGAACTATTTGTTATAAAGTGCACTACCAGTTTCCTTTTGTGCGTCTATATCTATGTCTAGTAAGGTCTATTTTTCTGAAAATGACATGAAACCCGTCACAAAGTATATATTTTGGATTGGCGAGTTATTTTATAAGTACAAAGAGGGCTTTTTTTCTTGAGTATATTATTCAGAAACTACTGTGCTTTTTGTATTTATCAATGTAAATATCCAGTCTTTACAAATATCTTATACAGTATGAATTGGAACCCATCTAATCAATAACTACATTTTATAGTTTCTTACATGAAATTAAGCTCTATCCACTATCTGATGTTCATAAAAATCATTGTCTGTTTAATGAGGTGGTTGAGATACTTTTGTGATGGAGTGTCATTATGTTTTTTGGAGATATTGAAATTGCGATTTTGAAAACTTTTGCTCAGTGAAGTGTGCATGATTTAGAGTGTCAAGCTGTTGTGTCACAACTGTTTGAAATGATTGCTAAATTATAAAGGAACATTTAGTCAGAACTGGAAATCCTTTCAACCAGGAATAGGGAAAAATAGTACTCTTAAATTAAAGATTACAAATAGGGCCCCACTCTGTTCAAAAGTGGCAAACATCGAACCAGTGGTGCAAGACTTGATCATGTCCGAGTTGGCTTTTTGAAAGGCAATTTGCCTCTGTAATGAAAGTTAACTGTAAATTAAATGATGATTGCAGTATAAATGTGATGAAGTCACAGTTTTGTTCAAATGTTTTATCAAGTCTAACCAAGATTCATAAACCTAAAGGGCACGTTGTTATTAGAAGCAGGTAATATTTTTTAGATTTAAAATGCCATAGCAACTTGACAGGGTGGCCATACTCTTTCATATCATAATTATTTTATCCGTTATCTGTTGTTCTCCTGTGTTGCAGGGGTGATGCCGGGCACATTGTTTATGAATACTCATTTTATTACCAGTAATGCTGCTCTTAGTACAGTATTTTTAATACAATTTGCTCAGCCACAGTTAGGATTCCTTCACTTAAACCATCCGTAAACAATTTGTTTTATAGAAATTGAGCACTGGAACATGTTGTGGCTTTTGACGTCTCTTATACCTGTAACATTTCAATTTGCTTCAAAACTGTATAATACTGTATGTCTCAAGACTGTTTCTACTCACTTGCTGCTGGTAATATAAGAAAACATTACATATTCATGCATATACAGCGTATATATACAAAAGACATTTACAGGTATGTATGGGTGTGAAGATATTACAATCGAAGAATTCAGAAAGTCAGTAGAAGTTGTCACTGTTTTCTATACATCAGAAACCTAGAACTTCAAAACCTCCATACAGATGAACTGACTGAAAAAAGAATTATATTTGTAGAATAGGACGTGAATCATTCAGAATGAGAACACAAATAACCTTTTTCTTTTGTCTCTCGACTCTAAGACTTTACTTCTTCTGTCTTTAGTGGCTCAGCTTTATGAGGAGCATCTTGATTTGTTTTCCTCTCAGATTCTAATTATGCTAGCAGTATTCCCTATGAGCTAACAGGACTTGCTGTATAAAACTCTACATCTTAGCTTTGTTGTGAAATTGTTTCATTTCAAGATAGGATAAAGAAGCTCTTTGTAAACCTTGAAACCAATTTTAAATCGCTGATAACAGAACTGCAGTTTCCGCAAACATTCAAGGGATAGTTAAGATGCCTGGAATTTGAGAATTTCAGTATTTCTTTTTATTTCCTTCAAAGCCAAGCAACATTCCACAAAACAAACAGCAGAATTCCTTTAGCTTCGTAGTTATAATAAAATTATTAAGCCTCTCTGTGCAGAACTTGCACTTATATCTTGCAGCTGTGTTATGAATAGAGATGGATTACTGCTTGAAAAACAGATACACATTTGAAAAGCGGCAGCTTTGTGCATTTGTGTGCTTGTTTACAGCATTGGAATCATGGCAAGAAAAAAAGTATTAATCATATGATTTATGTCCTGCTATTATAAAAAGTCCGTTTACATGAATTAAAAAATACATTACTTTAATGTACATGAAAGACATTCAATTATAAAGACTGTGCATGCTAAAATACTTCATTCAGCTTTTGCAATGTATTTGAATACAGGATGGGATAATATTTTTTTTGCAAGAAAAGGCACTTTGAATTTGTTTAATTGATTTTTCTTTTCAGCTTCTTTAAATACACCAAGGTCTTTCCTTTTGTAGTACAGATATTGTAGCACTTTCAAGTGCTTGTTCATAAGATGGAGGCAGGATGGAATATTTTGCTGAACCCCTTTATTAGCAAAGGCCTCAATGCTAGCTTGACAGCTCAGCCTTACAACAGTTCACACAAAGCAGGTAACATATACATGTACACTAGACTCACTCCAATAGTGTTTTGCCCTACCTCCCTCCAGTGCGATACGCTGTTTTTCTTACATTTATCTCAACTATTGCAAAAGCATTAACAGATAAGTACTGCATGAGCTCATTCCCACTCCTGTCATGTCATTTATGGTAATAATAATAATAATAATAATTCCTTACACTTCTATAGTGCTTTTCTGGACACTCCACTCAAAGCACTTTACAGGTAATGGGGATCCCCTCCACCACCACGTGTGCAGCCCCACCTGGATGATGCACCAGTAGGCTCCCCACCTGTCAGCTATCAGTGGGGAGAGCAGAGTGTTGAAGCCAGTTCATAGATGGGGACTATTAGGAGGCCATGATTGGCAAAGGCCAGTGGGAATTTTGGCCAGGAAACAGGGTGATACCCCTAATTTCTTCGAGAAATGTCCTTGGATTTTTAATGACAGAGAGCCAGGACCCCGGTCTCATCTGAAGGATGATGCCTTTTTACAGTATAGTGGCCCCACTAACACCTCTTCAGCAGCAACCTGAGCTCTCCCATCCAGGTACTGGCCAGGCTCACACCTGCTGAGCGTCAGGCACATTTATGAGTTGCAAGGCGATATACAGTAGCTGCTGGCTGATGAGCAGAACCAATTCAACATCAATAAGAAGCAATTAAGAAATGTCTAGGGCCTTATGGTATTCTACCAGCTGTAGTTAAGGAAATGAGAAATGTTTTCCATAGGTCATTAGTAACAAAGTCTTCTAAGACTTGCTCAAGAAAAGGGAAAGTACCCGCAGCCTAGAAAATCATTAAAAAAGGTTTCAAAACTGAATTTATCTATAGGTCAATGTCTAACTTCTGTTTAAGGTTATTGTAAAAAATAAATTAAACTGTTATTAGAAAAAGCAGGTCTTAAAATACAATTAAAAAGTTCTTTGAACATGCAATACGTAAAAGACATACACAATGTAGTATATTTAGATTTTCAGTTTCGATAAAGGTTCTCAAATTATTCTCAATTTGCAGGCAGCAGCCATCCACAGTAAAGAGAAAGGAATGGATAGAAAAAAAGGAGTTCAGATGATGGGTGAATGCCCAAAATAGTGTGATATAATTAGCTGTGTAGCAGAGGGAACTGTATTTGGACCACTGCTCTTCCTACTTTACTCCATATACTGTAGATCTACAATAGATATCAGATTTGGATTGTGGTACAGAAAGCAAACTCATGAAATTTGCAAATTGTAGCACAACGTTCAAAAAATGATGCTTGGATCCATTAATCACTAGCCATGAAATGGATAAGATTGGCTGTATTGCCTCTTGTTGTTTGTAAATTCTCTTATGTTGTTAAAGTGCCCACATTGGCCACACCTTCACAGACCAAGACCTTGGTGCACACTTACCTGCTGACATGAAGCCCCAGGGACTCCTGCAGATCAGCACCAGAGATGGTACATGTCTCTCTGGGGTGCAGAAATCGGCATCCTCAAAATAATATCTGCATGAAGGCGTTTGAGCCTAGCAAGGTGCACTATTTCTAAATTGTAGGTCAGTAATACCTCTGTCCATTAATTCACTTGTCCTACCCTGTCACTGAAGATGAGGAATCACTTGAAAGTGGGATTTGTGTGTAGATTAATAGAGAAATGGTCCACATTGCACTATAATGCCATCCTTACTGGCTCAGTGCTGGGCTGAGCAACAACCAACTTCTCTTAAGGCCCACGAGTGGCAGGTACCAGTGATTGGCATAAACAGCAACTTGAGGTCACGGAAAGTCTGGACAAGAGAATATGTTAGTGCGTCGTTCTAGTTCTCACCCACTAAAGAATGGCACTTCTCATTGTGAGACATTGAAAGGGAGTGGCAATGTCAGCAAAGATCCTTCACAGAATCATAAGCTAGACACCGGCTCTACAAACGTCCCTAGTGTTGCCGGGGATCAGACATGACTACAGGAGACACTGCATCCAATGCTGTTCGAGTTCCACTGCCTTGATGTCGCCCAGCACTGTGCAGAGCTTCTCAAGAGCCGTAAAATATGTCACTGGCCAACCTCTCTTCTTAATTGATGATCCAGCATAAACAGTTTTTAGTAATGTTTTGCAATAGCACTTCACGTGTGGCTTAATTAATAAAATAAAACCGTCACATCGCTCCTCCGTAAGGAAAAAAAAAAACATTAAGATCTGTTAAATTATTAATAACTTTACAACTTCAATCTATTTGTGGTTGTACAAATCCATTCTGAATACTGTAGTCCCAGTGCAGAAAAAACAGGGACATTACAGAAAAACATCTCTCCTTATATGCAGAATGTTGTAGGCTTTCCACACTGCCAAGTTTTAACTGAAGAGATCACTACCCAACAACCTACAGTACCTCCCAACCTCTAATACTTCATGATGTGTTCATTGGCACTGTGTGGGAAGCATGTCCTGTTCTTGGTTTTAAATCCATTTCCAAGTAATTTCTACTTGTGCCCTTGGGTTCGTGTTTCGCTGTTCATTTTGAAGAAGACCTTTTGGTTGACACTGACAATGTCTTTGGACATTGACTTTGAGTGCTCATACTAGGTCCCATCATACTCAGAGAAAAACTAAAATGGTTTAGTTCTTGCAGAGGCTCAATGTAAGGCATGCATTTAAGTGCTGGAATGAATCTGGTTGCTCTTCTCTGGACTGATTCCAGAACAGCAGCTCTACCTTTTCTGTTTTGTAGTGACCATAATTGTACAGCAGGGTCTTGACATCTGTGAATTCAGCTTTTCTGTATTTGCTTATTCAGTCTGGTCTTGGAAGGAAGAGGAGCAGAGTGGTTGAAAGTTCTTAAATTCAACTTTCAAATTAGCTGAGCCACAGATAAAGATCAGGAGACAAAAGTAGCTACTATAGTAAGTACTGTAAGCCTCCATCTCCCTGCCTCCTACCCGCTACCTAGCATCTGCATGTCAGTGTGGTCTTGCTTTTACATTGTAACTCACTCTCCCAGCTCCATGTCAGCAGCAGAGAGAGTGTCAGGCTGGAGACAACTTTACAGGCTCACTGATGGGTTTATTGCCCTTTTCATTACAGTAGGGCACGCTAACCATGGGGCAGGGAAAAAACTGTTAAGGCAGAGAAAGTGCAGACATCCCCTGGATACAGAGGAAGGATTCGTACTGTTTTTCCTAGCTGGTAACCATTATGTTTGTGATTACAATGGTTTATTTTAGTTGATCAATGTTATATTAATTAAAGCTAATGCATTAGTACTTTTATTATCATATAAAGAAGGGTTACTTATGTCTTTTTACCATACGTACTACAAACTGTACAACATTACGTGACAGTATACTGTAGGTATGAGCCTTGAGAATGTTGAGACCCTGCTGAAATCTTAAAGAGGCCTAACGAGGGCATTGTACAGTGTTAACACAACATCCCTGGCTTTAAATTCTTCATTTGTGACTATATAACATACAAAATGTGAAGTCTTTTTATTGCTTCTCCAGGGTGGGGGGGGTGAGATGTAAATGGTGCATTAACAAACATCTGAGTCATAAGAAGGCTTCTTTTTTATAAGAAGCCTTTTCTAGCTCCATTTCCCAGTTTTTATTTATAGTTTGTTTCCACTACCTTCATTAAAAACCCTGAACTTTTTAATAACTAAAAGTCTGCATTTCTTACAGAACGCCTAAGTGAAATATTTGTTTAGTACATGTCATTTCCCTTTCATCATCTATAATTACACATTCATTGCTCCAGATTCCTATTTTTACTTCATCCCTAATGCTTCTTTTGCTGTTGTAGTACTAAAAGAAATGTTTTATTTGTTTTAGGCTTCACAACCTTTCAATATACAACCTCTCTCTCTCAGCCATTTCGATTTCTTCTCAGTTGGTACAACTGCCCGTGATACAAAAAGTAATTGACAGCTCTTTGCCATCTGCCAGCACACGCAATAAAAGTTCACCAACACCATATAATAAAGCATCACAGGCCAAAACTAAGGCTTTCTGCAGTCTGCAGAAGCAAGTGAGCAGGTTTTAGGAATGCAGTAACTTCTTAGAGACTCTGAAAGCTGCCCATTTTTCTTGATTCCTTTACCAAGGGATGGTTTTACGCAGAAGGAGGTATAATAGGACTAACACAGCGACAGCATTCGGTAGGCTACTTGTGACAGCAATTTAACATTCCTAGGTAGGGATTTAATTCAGTTGAATCCCATGGTACAAGAGCATCTGTAATAGTGGGGGTTTATAATTAAGTGCAGGCTATTGGATTTTATTGTGTGCCCCATCTACTTTTTTGGAACCAAGACAACACATTGTTTACATTTCACTTTCAGCTCAAACACAGATGTCCTATTTCTCTGTCTGGATTTTGTGAAGTAGTAGTAGACTTAATTTGGTCCAGTGATGAGAATAGCATCCAAATAAACCAGAAATTGTGGCATCACTAAAATAATTATTTCCACATCTGCTAACATATCCATGGAGCAAAGGACACCCCTAAAGGTAGCCTATTGCAGATGTAAAGTGCTGAGCATGAAATACTTCTTGGATCCATCCTCTTAAACAACAGTTATAATAATAATAATAATAATAATAATAATAATAATAATAATAATAATAAATTCTTACACATACAGTATATACAGTAGCACATTTCTGGACACTCCACTCAAAGAGCTTTACAGGTATTGGGGACTCCCCTCCACCACCACCAGTGTGCAGCCTCACCTGGATGATGTGACGGCAGCCATAGTGCACCAGTACGCTCCCCACACACCAGGTCTCAGTGGGGAGGAGAACAGAGTGATGAAGTCAATTCATAAATGGGATTATGGGGCCATGATTGGTAAGGGCCAATGGCAAATTTGGCCAGGGCACCAGGGTTACACCCCAGTTATCATGACTCATGACAGGAGGTCAGTCCTTTACAAAACCAGACAACTAATTAAAATGTCTTCTGCTTTTGAAATTGGGTCCATACATGTTGAACAATGCAAACTATGCAATTTGATCCCAATTTTTAAAATCTTAAAACACACAGGTCCTATGCAGCTGTAAAGTTACACTCAAGTGTGCCTTATTCACAGTGCAGAGAATGAAGAGACACCAACCAAAAACCAAAGCAAAATCCCAAGCTGCCTTTTAAGCACCTGATCAAACATCTTCTCAAAGTCCCTAACTAGCGTAGCAGAGCAGCTAAACAGCTTACTGGCCTCCAGAAAAACAATTCATTCACAAAAACAGCCTGTCTCAGTGTTTTCGACATAAAACGCCCAAAGTTTGGAAATCTCTCTACTCACAGGTTCACTTTCCCAAAACTCACAGACCTCCTTGGCCCACAGTCTGTTCTTCTCCCGCCTGTGGCTGGTGAGCCACAGAGAGGTGCATGCCTTCAGCCCTACAAACAGCAAATATCCACTAACTGACCCAAGAAACTTCTGCTTCCTGCTTTTTAAACCTGGTCACCTGACCAATTTTACTCCACTTCCTGCAAGTGATCAGGTGACACAGAGCAGCAGCTCTTTCTGGGGAATGTGGTCCTGACATGTCTGTCATACCACAACCTGTATGGTGGTTCCATGAACATGTAGTTATTGTGTTATCACCCATGGTGTCTGTATAACATTTCCAAATGTTTTGGAGGAGCTATAGAGTGTCACAGATTGTATGTTACAGGTAGAGCGTGAAACCAGTTATTAAAAAAAAATCCTAAAATATTTATTTCAATATTTTATGTCAAATTTTTTAAGAATTTTGTTTTATACCTTAGGCAGCTTCAGAAGTTTCACACTCTTACTGTATTATGTAAATATATCATTTTATAGAAATCTACTACTGGATTTAGGGCTCTCTATATTTTCCGCAGGCTTCTGTCTATGGCTGCTGAAATCCAACGGGACATCTTTTGGTTGTTCTTCTGTGTTGGGGAGTCCAGTTCGCGAAGCCAGTTTTCTGTACTTTTTGTTTTTGTTCCCTTTGCTTCTTGCTTATATGGCAAGCGTACTGTATATTTAGTGCCCTTTCAGACTCTTGAAAAGCACTAACTGTATACTCATCCATCTAACCAGCCACCTTTTGGAAGAGATGATCGAAGCCAGAGCCTATCCCGGCAAGCAGTAGGCACAAGACAGGGTACACTCTGGACAAGACGCCTCCCAGGGCACACACAAACAGACACACGCTCTCACCAGGGCCAGTCTTCCCAGGATGTCCTTGGACTGTGGGAGGAAACCAGAGCTCCCAGAGGAAACCCGTGGGAAAACAAGGAGAACATACAAACTCCACACAGACAGCACCCCCGGTTCGGAATTGAATCCAATGACCCAGCGCTGTGAGGCAGCAATGCTGACCCACTGCACTTATGTGCTGCCTGCTTCCTGTATATACATGTGAAGGATTGTTATTATCTCTTCTTTATTCCAGCAATGAGCCATTCTCCTCTCCACGCATGTCTCATCATCATTTTGGCTTCTTCGCACTTTGAATGACACAGCACCTTTTGAGATAAATTTAGAAATCTAATTCTCTTACATCTAAGTTGTGTACAATACTTCCCGAAAATTCCAAGAAAATCTGATGCATTTATCTTAATATATTGATTTATCATAAGGATAATTTACTTTAATTGTATGGCCCTGCTGAGGTCTTGACATTTCCGAGCTCAATCCAAACCTAATAACTGAGGCAATCTCTAGTCAGCTGATTTAAACCAGACATAGAGCAAGACTGTCCATGGTCCAACCTTTAACTGGTCTCTGATGATAAATAGAGAATTATGTAAATTTCATTTGTTTAGCTTCAAAGGAGAATTCTACTTTGAGATGCTTTCTGGCCTTCATCCAAGGTTAAAGGACTGTCTTACAACCAAACTACTTAGAGAGAAATATGTGTAGTGAATGAATTTATCATTCATTATGTTTATCATTTGTAGGACTTTATCTCTGTGCGTAGTCAAATCATTGTCTAATATTTATTTGTTTAACAGGTGAAACTGATAACATTGTCGGTAAAAAACATATTAAAATACATTACATGACTAGACTTTTGCATGCAACTTTCTTTCTTTTATTCTGAAATATATTTAACATATTTCGAATTTGTAAACTTAGTATTCATGTTCACAACAAGTACTCATAAACGTCTTTTAGTACAAGTACTTACTTTTGCAGCTAAAAACGATGGATACTAATAAAAGATGAACAATTAAGAGATTGTGGCTTAATGCCAAGGTGATCTCCATCCTAGATTAACTTATCCATTGATAGGCTCTTCTACATTTCACTTTGCTGCCAGCAGTATGTCTTTCAGTCTCAGACAAAACTATATAATATTTGCCATGACAGTGGGGCTACTTTGGTTAATAGCAAAAGTACTTCTGAATCATTACAGCAAGTGTGTGGGAGTACCAGCTTTCTTATTGTATTATACATCTCATATAAAGCTCGGCTGAAGTCAATGCCAAATTGGCCTGAGGTAGAGTCAGTGAAAGATGAGATTGGAATCTCCTATTGATAGCAGTGCCTTATATCGGAACATTTAAGTAGTTCAGTAATAGAACAGTGCAAGGGGAATGGAAAATGTCTAGATTTGACAGTCTTTCCCTTTCAACTGATAAGTGTACAGAGCAAGATAAGGGATTGCACTTCTTTATGATAACCTAACTTTACTGCACAGAACAACACACCACTTTTTTTCACCTGCAAGGTTTTGACATTTAAACTTAAGTTCTGAAGAAAAAAAAGATGCAGACCTGTGATGACTGGCGGGCAGGGGCATGTTGTGGCATTATGAAGATTTTGCCTTCTTTTAAATCACTCCAGCATTATACCTCCAGTCTGGCTCTGGTAATTCAATTCTCTTTAGCTCATTTCAGATCCCCATTTCTGTGAGCACTGCTACTTTCATTATTGCTCCTAATGTGCACAGGCCTGCTCGACAAGCTTAAACTGATTCCGTTTGATAATATGACAGCATTAGCTGGGGCCCAAGGCATGGAAAATTCAAATTGTATCACTATCCGCTCAGGCATTGACACGGAATAATCACAATCCTTAGCACATCAAACAGCAAGTCCAGGGTTGACTAATCAAATTTCAAGACAATCAGTTGATGTCAGAAATCATATTATTTCTCTACTGGAGAAACTGATCATTTTACCTCTGCTGGACTATTGTGGATCTTGAAGTTTAAATCATTTTATTGATCTTGTGCCAAACAGAATCCAGAAATCTCAACATCTGAACTTTCTTTGTGCAAGGCAATGTCTTCTCGGGTTCTCAGATTCAAAAGCATTTTGCTTTCTGCTCATGAAGTAGACTCACCCAAGTTTCTACAAGATGTCATTTGTTTTTATGTCATTATTACTTTCCTAGAGATGTACTCTGAGAAATTTCTAAAGAAAACCCTCAATGTAATATTTTATTTAGTTCACTGAACCAATATGCAGCAGCATCTTGCAATAAGAAACAAATACCTTAATAATATTTAGTAATAAAATAGAATAAAGCCTTACAATGGATAAAAAAACTAATAACACAAAAATCATATTACATCATTTTCAGACCCTCAGGCTTATTTTTATTGTGACTTTGTTTGCTATGTAGCATGACTTCCACTAGTGACAAATGTGATCTGGATTTAATCATCTCTCTGTCTTGAGGGAAGCATCGAGTTGGACATTATAGATCAATGAGGAACATGTGAAGAGGTTTTTATTTGAACTGAATTTGCTCTTTAAACAGGGAGTCTGCTACCTCTGTGATTTTGTGTTATTAAAATACGGTAAATAACACGGTTCACACAACCATCCCTAAACCTCAACTTTCAGTGGAGAAGAACTGTCCTTTCCAAGAGTAAGTCTTCCATACAGTATGGATTCAAATATTATTCCTTTAGTTTAAAAGTTTGCATAGACGTTTCTAATTTAGATTTGTTTTTGAGTATGCTAGCATCCATCTATCCATTTTTGCCTTTTCCAATTGAGTGTTTGTGGGGGGAAGACCAAGCTGGTGAAAATTTAAATGAATGTACTGACCTGCAATTAAGAGAAAAGGTCAAGTCTTGGGTGCTGTGTTCATCAGTTAGCAAAAATGAGTTAACTGATCATGGCAGTCCTGCATGTTTCTCCTTTTACTTAATTTCCATTGCAGTTCAGCTCCTGAGCTCATCAGTTCTCGCCATTCCTTGGCTTAGGGTGTGAGCGCATTCCAGTTATCGCAATGCATTGTGGTCTCGGGCAGTTTTCATTGTGTCCTGCAGTGCTGTACGTCACTGACTGTGGCCACTTGGTATAGTTCTTCTGTCTTTGTATCGCTCAAGGATTCCAGGCACAGCTGTGCAGTGACAGATTATTGTAGCTCGAAGAGAGATGTTTGGTTTCTGTAAGTGCGTCTGTTGTAGGCTAATTATTTACTGAAGAAGGCTGTGAAATAGCATCTGGCATCGCTCAGAACGCTCTACTAAAATGCCGTTAGAGATATTTCCAGGGTGGACTCTGTGGAGATAAGTTGTACAGCTATCCCCACTCCTGCATTTATGAATGTCACAATTAACCTTTTGAGAATGGTTTTAATTAAATCGAAGGCTTATTTTTTAGTTTGTTATTCTAACATGGCAATATAGCAAAATAATAATTCAATTATTTCATTTTTTATTTGTGGATTGGCATAAGAGTAGAAGAAAGTGAGAGACAAGTGGAAAAAAAGTGTTTCTCTTCAGCATTTCACGTTTCTCCTTTTAATAAGAATCTTATCATTGTGACAAATTCTCAATAGAAAACTGTGTATGATTAAATTCTAATATCTATTATGTACCTTCATTTTGAATAATGGATGTCTTAAATTATTAAAAATGTGTGCTTTTGCTTACATTGCCAGTAATTGCAGACTTCCACCCTACACCTCTATTATTTATCTTCCGTATTTAGTTTAAAAAGGAAAAAGACATTCTTTCGGGTTGTAATTAAGTGTCCTTTGTGTGGTTTTGTGTGCTGTTTGTTCTGCAAGACGATTCTCTTTCCACAATTCTCTTCAGAAATTGAATTGATTTTTGTGATAAGCAGCGAATTTTTAATACGCATTTCAATTTAAATCCAATCTATGTGTTTTTAAAAATAAGCAAATGTTTGTTTGATCTCATTCGGCAGGACCTCTGTTGTATGGCAGAAGATTTAATTTACAGTCTCTTGATGGAAACCTACTGAGATCAAACACTTCCTTGACTGGTCCTTCAGAAATGAGTATAGTTTTCAGAGCTGCAAGCACATCAGGCTTTTGTACTGTTTGTTTTGATAGTGAGGAGGTCTTTAGTATAAGTCAGTAATTAATGTATTTTAAAGATGAACTCATAATGCAGTTTTCAGGACCAAAGCTTTAGCCGCTGGATTGAACATTAAGGATTATTATCATGGAATCTGTACTGGCCCCTTGTTTTGTAACCATTAAG